CACATGATCTGGTAAACATGAATAATGAATAGCATAAACAGTAATCATTAGTGAGCATCTTTATCATCAGTATCATCAGTGTTCAAGGGTTCCAAGGCTGCTCGTGACCATGAGCACGGCTGATATACCAGTTTTACACTCTGTAGAGGTTGTACACTTTCACTGTGAGTCATGATTTATTCTTTTGCCCGCGGCGGCCAACCACTTGACCCACTACCAAGGAAGGTCGGTAGGGTTCACTATGAAGTCTTTCAAAGGTTTATCTAATAAGTTAGGGCCGCTAAGGTTTCCCCATCAATGAACCCCTCTCCAAGGAGTGACTAACAAAATACCAAGAAACCAAAGTGCACCCTCTTGGCAGGCTGAGATCATACCTATCGGAGCCCCTCTTGCGCCATAAAGGTAACCACTAATAAGCTAGAAAAAGTCCTCATGCTGAGCTAAAACCAGAGCCATATAGCCCTCACAGCTGTGCTGTAAGTCCCGGATGTTCTCTTACAGATAAGTCCTTAGGGAGAGGAATCTAGAGCACCATAAAATAGCCCAATGCTCTAGCCCCCTTGTTCCATGTTGCTAAAAAGCATCTTTTAGTGTTTATTGCATATTCCATTAGTCAAGTTACAAGATCATGGCTTTAGGTGGGCACTAGCATCATACTACCCAATGCAATAACCCATAGGAATCAAGGAATCCAGGATATTAAATAGCTAGGAAAATTACTACGGTTGCCAAGGTAGACACATGCATATGATTAAAATGATATTAAGGTGAATAGGACAACAAGGAAGATCACATGCTATACTTGCCTTAAACTCAAATTCTTCTTCTATTGAATTGTAACCTCCAAAGGACTTCTTTTGGATCACCAACTTCTTTTATATTACCAACGCAAAGTTCACCTACTGGACATGATCATAAAGCACCACACAAGCATCCATGCAATCATACATGAAGCAAATAATAGATCTAAATTAGAACAGTACACCAAACATAAAATCAAGATAAAAAGTTTGTAAAATGAATCTACGTGTCGCTACGAACACACAGACGTGAAAAACACTCTAATCGGAGCTATAACAAAAAAGTTATGAAATAAACAAGATTTCCTTTAATAAAATAATAGATTAAATCTAACCTGACTTTCAAAAGTTGAAAATATATTTAACAGTAGGATGAACATGTAGATTACTCAATTATGAATCTAACACAACTTGAATGGATCAAAACGAAGTTAAAACAAAGATTTTATGGCCTAAATAAGACTAGTGGCAAAACTGTAAATAGATGAAAGCGTATTTTGGATCTAACTGAAAAAACTACGTTTTCAAAAGAAGAAAACGTATTTTGAATCTAATAGAGGGATTTTTACGCTTTCTGAAAGAGAAAACATATTCTGAATCTACTAGAAAGAAACTACGCTTTCAGAATAGGAAAACGTATTCTAGAAGTACACCATGGACTTCGGGTTATATTACGCGAAACTGCAGAGGCTCTTTTGCAAATAAACCCAGCAAAGGGGTACGGGCGATCTTGGACCGTTGGATTGAATCTGGACGGCCCAAATTAAAAAGGAGGGGGAGAGAGAGTCACCGACCGGAGAAGAAAACCGGCATGGCGGAGCTCCATTAATGACAACGAGAAGCTCCCCGGAGCACTTGGTTTGGGCCCTAGAGGCCACGGTTTGGCGAGCCGAGAGCACAGGAAATAAGGAGAAGACAACGAACTCACCTAGGGCCTTCTTGCGGTCGACGGCGGGTCTACGGCGTCGGGCAGCGCGGCGGCGACGGCGAGAGAAGGAGAAAAAAATCTAATTTACTACACGAGGGATTTTCCAAACTAGGGGCTCCCCTTACGGTAGTTTTGGTGTGCTTTGCCCAAGGGATTGGTACATATGTATAGGGAGAAAAACTCCCCACATCTACATCAACTAGCAATATGGTACTAATTGATGTTGCACCCTCCACATTTACTAATGGGCCTAAATAATCATTAAAGCCCATTAATAAATAAATGCATGGGCCTTTGAGATTTATTAGGATTATTGCACATGGACTTTGAGAGTTGGTTGGAAAATGAGATATATTCTTTATTTTAGGAATTAATTAATTTCATGAATAAAATAATTCTAGAAAAGTCCAGAATAGATATTTAAGCCACGAAAAATACTTCGAGACCTCCAAAAATTTAGAAAAAATTCTCAGAGACACTTTGGAACATGATAAACCCAAATAAAGTATTTGGAGCTCATGAAAAAATTGATGGGAACTTAGAACATAAAGATTAAGGTGAAGGAGGTAGGAATTAAATTCCAGAAAGAAGCTGGATAATTTCTAGAGATAGATATTCGTGTTCTAAACGTTTTTAAAAAAACACGTTTTGCACATAGAAACACAAGGTGCGACCGGCATGAATGCAACAAACATGTTTCTACCTTAAGATAAATTTTAATCTAATAAAAATTTATTATTTCCCAATGTTTTCATGAGCATAAAAATACACAATTAAATCATTTTAGCTCTATTTCAAGAGAAGCAAATTTTAGGGTGTTATAGCTCCCCGTAGTGGCGCTCTCGCTCTCTCACCTCGTGTCTCACTGCCGCAGACCACCTGCCACTGCCGTCGTCCTACTCGTCTTCGACGACGTCTCCACCACCTGATCTTGGAGATCTCGTCTTGCCTTCCTCCCGTTGTGGACAGGGCTCGTTCTCCCGGCCTCTCTCGCCGCAGCCTGCCACTGCTGTCTCCTTTCTCGTCGTCTTCCCCGTCTCTGGCGACCCCTCCACCACCGGATCTTACATATCTCCTCTCATCTTCCTCCTCTCATACTCTCTTCTTCCTCCCGCTCTCTCTCTAACCACTCGTTGTCCTCCATCGATCGATCTCATTTGTCGCCCTCTCTCTAAATCACTGTGGCTATCCACTATTGAATAAACATCATTGGTACATTGCTGAGAAGATATTGGAGTTCCTTGAATTGTTCTATGATTTAACTATTGTACTTTCTGGTGTTTATTACCCCACTAGTCCTTTAATACTGCATCACATACTTGAGATTGCTGGCCATCTGCATGACTATGAACATGATAATTTATTTGCATTTGTTCTGAACCCTAGGGCTAAGATGAGAGGTTTGCAAAATGTTCTTAAATTGCTTGCTCAGTGTAACAATATGAGTTACATTGCCTATTTTGCTGAGGTTAAATCTGAGTTGCATAAACTATATGACAAGTATGAATCTAAGTTTGGTGCAGCTAGGCCAGCTAGGACCACACATCCATCTGGACTGATAGGTAAGAGGAAGCAGGCATAGGGCAAAAATTTTGGAGGATCAGTTTCTTCTGGTCCTTCAAGTGCTGGTTCATCTACCACTATGGCTCTTGGTCTTTCTGAGCTCACTGTTTACCTTGACAGTGATAATGTTGTTGCCTATGATGATGACTTTGATTTCCTCAATTTGTGGCATGAGCATAAACTAGCCTATCAAGTTCTCTGTACCTTGGCTAAAGATATTATGTCAGTTCCCGTCTCAACTACTTCTTCAAAGTCTTGCTTTAGTCTTACTAGCAGGATCATTGAGGAGCGACGACGACGATTGGGCTCAAAGATGGTGGAGATGTTGGTCTGCATCAAGGACTGGGAGTTAGGCCAAGACAGAGGACAACATACTACGGAGGACAGAGAGTTAGAAGACTACTTCAAGAACCTATGGCTTGATGAGGATGTTGCTTCTGGTGCTGGTTGAGTGCTGCTGCTGAGTGCTGAGTGACAGTGTGTGAGTCAGTGTGAGTGTGAGTCTGAGACATTTGAAACTATGGTTTGTAATAATTTTGAACTTTTGAATTTGAAAATGAGCTTGTCGTACTCTTTTTTTCTTTCTAGGATTTCTCACGAGGTGTGAGTTCTACCTAGAAATGTTTTTAATGAGGTGGCATTGCACAAACAGCTCAACTTAATCATCTTGGCTTTTATCTTTCTGTGATATCGTGACTTGTGATTTTGTGAAGCAATTGTGTGTGATATTGTGACCGACTATGAAGCACTTGGGAAGTGGGGAACTTGTGACTTGTATACTTCAAATATGTATTGAATCTGTTTAACCTGTGAGTTGTGACTTGTAGTTGTATAATTGTAACTTAGTTTGTTAAATGCTTGTGAACTTGTTCAAATATATATTGAATATGGTGTTTTTACGTGATCGCGGGCTTCGGATTGGTCCGGTAAGGTTTTGGGCCTGTACTTTTTAGGCTGGCACGGCCCAAAAAACGACCCACTTGCTGTGCCTGATCTTCAGGCAGGCACGGTGGACTGAGGCGGCTACCGGGCCGTGCCTGGCACGGGCCTGGGCCATGCCGTGAATGCTCATCTTTACCCTCACGCAGTCACACCCGACGTCGTCCTCTTCCTTTCCTGTTTTCAGCTCCCGCCATCCTTGCCCATCCAACACTGCCCGTTGCCCACCACCTCGCCACTGCCCACACGCGTACTAGCCTCGCCTGTGCGCGCAAATGTAAGCTGCCACATAGCCTTGCCAAGCACCACTCGCTCGCGTCTGCCTTGACCTCGCCCAGCCCACGCCCCAGCATGTAGACCACGTTGCCGCTACGTCCATGCCGACCTCTGCGCACGAGCCACCGCTATGCCACTCGCATCAGCCGAGAGATGATCACATTTACGCCTGTCCACATCAGCCGCGGGAGCGCGTGCAGCGCGCACTCCCGCCTCAGGGTCACACGACGGCGGGGCGGGCGCGCGCGCGCTGCTCTATGCACGCGACGCGACGCCACCGTCGCGCCCGGCCGCGGCCACCTGCAGGCTATTTACTTCGAGATTCTGGAGATGGAGCGCGGAGTCGCATGAGATCGATCTCGCTCTCAGCGTCGGAGTGTTAGCTACACACCGTCACACCCCCGGCCACGCTCCGATCGTATACGAGGCTGCTCCATTGCCCTCTTCTTCTTCGTTCCCTGCTGCCCTGCCGGCTGCCGTGAGTGGATCAATCGATGGACGCCGCGCAGGCGCCCGCAGGAGTGGTGGTCGACGTCGAGGCGCTCGCCGGACCCGTAGGGAGCGAGGCCCCCGCTGCGGCTAAGGTAAATGGCGCGTCAGTCCGTCAGCTTCAGTGCATTGATACGTTCGTTCTCACCATCAACACTAGTAGTTTTGCAATCCGCACACACATTGCCTAGTCCCTGCCGTGGCCAGCATTCAGCAAAACCGGGACCTTTTCACGTGCGCCCTGCATGTTTGTGGAAATGCCTACAAGCAATGCATATAGTGGCAGGATTTCGATTGCAGGGTGGCAGGGTGCATGTTTTTGCCTTTCTTAATCTGTTCTGGTTATGCTTTCTGCAAGTAACTAATTTTGGTTTCCATCTGGGTCATTTATTCATTTCTATTGCGGAGGTGGACGTCTTGCCATTATGCTTACGCCCATCCCCAACTTAAACTGCAACTTTCTTTTTGTCTCTGATTGTCCATGGAGTCCTTTCAGATTGTACTGATTGCTCACTTGCCTTTTCGGCCTTTTCTGCTTCACTGTTCCTGTCTCAGTCAAAGTTTTTGCCTTTTTGGTCTTATTTGGCCTACCTTGATCCTGGAAACTAAAAATAACAAATCTCAATTGTATTCTTTCTGCACTGGTTACATGATCTTTGTATGATAGCAGAGACGTCGATGATCTTAAACATTTGTGTGTTTTGTTCTTTTCTTCTACTAGTATTGAAATGATACATTGCTGTCGTGTGGGTTAGATAAAAAATGTACTACCCTTTGTCTTTTAGGTTGTCTCATGCTTTTGATTACTGGGCAATAAGTATCCTTGCTAATTCCATGGTGCTGTGTAACACAGGGCCCAGCATGGAAAAGGTTCTTGTACCACGTTGGACCAGGCTTTATGGTCTGTTTGGCCTACCTTGATCCCGGAAACTGTACGCCCCGCACCATTCTTTCTCTATCTCTTTTTCTCCATATATCGCACACTATTGATGATACTTGTCAAATTTGAACAGTGGGAACAGATTTGCAAGCTGGTGCAGATCACAGATATGAGGTACACTTTCAGATCTTTGTTAAATCACGCCATTCACCCTAGCAAGCAACATTTCTTGCATAATACAAGCCAACACTAACTACTCTGCTCTTTTTTTGTCATTTATTTATTTTTAATTTGCTCCTCCGTAGCTCCTCTGGGTGACCTTGATTGGCCTCATCTTCGCACTAATTATTCAGTCATTATCTGCTAATCTTGGAGTAGTGACAGGTACGTACTTTATAGACAACTAGGATATATCATGCGTAGGACTACACTCTCTTATGACGTCGATTGGAATTGATGGCTGTTCGCTCACTCAGGGCGGCATCTTGCCGAGCTATGCAAGACGGAATATCCAGCATGGGTGAGAATCTGCCTATGGCTGCTAGCAGAGTTAGCTGTGATTGCTGCAGATATCCCAGAAGGTTAATATCATTTCTTGATAATATTACATAAAAAAATATTGTTCAACTGCTATTTTGATGTGGGGTCACTCTTAGCCTCTCACCCTCGCTGAGGGGCACGGGGGGAGAGGCCGAGGGTTTCCCATAGGTGAATGACCAAGCTGCCTCGCAGGGATGAGCGAGGGTAAAGGGATGCGAGGTGATGGAAAAATGCGGATTAAATGCCCATTAATTTGTCTGGAAAAAATCAACTTGTTGCTTACACGAGCGCCCCGGGTATTTATAGACCGTACCCGGGGACGCGGTGGAATTACACTAGGGTTAGACCCCGGAGGGTGAGCGCTATACAATAACCAAGGGTACGGCGGTAATTTCCTTTCCTCAGCTAACCACTCCCGGGCCCCAATCGGCTTGACGGGGCCGTCACCACCGTCGGGATGGTCCCCTCCCGCGGTGGGTGCCAAACCTTCGCGCGTTCCCGGCGAGGGTCCGCTTGCTGCCACCATTTTGCCCCCTTCTCGCCACGCTCCTACGGCACGGCCAACCTTCGGATGCGTCACCTGAACACATGGTCAGAACACGTAGAGCATAAAACCCTCGCCGCGGGGGGTAACATCCGCAGCGAGGCAGGTTAGTTTGGCCAACAGTGGGTCGAGGGCCGGGGGGACCTCCCCCCAACATTTGATTTCTGCTCATAGTGTATAATGTTACCGAAGATAAATGGATACAATAAAAGAGGATTCAGTGTTGTTCTATACTAATTCTTAATGCCAAAGCTAAAATGACAGATTTATTCTTCTTGCTAATTTTCAGTTCAATTGGTCCACTGTTTATTCCTGTATAACTCAGGAATGCAAGTTAATGGACAAACTTGCTTTGCTAATATAGAGAACTTAATTAGTTTCCATATTCATTTCACCGTTTGCTTCTCACAAATGTTATGATTTTTCAGTTATAGGGACAGCTTTTGCTTTCAACCTCTTGTTCCATATACCTTTGTGGGTGGGGGTTCTCATTACTGGCTCAAGCACACTTCTCCTCCTTGGAATGCAAAAATATGGGGTAATCATTTTATTGCCAGACTATTCATATCAAAAATATTTTTACTGACATTCTCACAAACACTCGTGTACTCTGTATTCTCTAGTCGTGTTTGGTTTGAGGAGTTGGCCTAGATGAAATGATCCATCATGAGAATTTCTGTGGGATACTGGGACGGCTCTGTCCTTCATGTTTACACTAGAAGTGCTTATGCGGAATGAAGTAGTGATGGATCAACACATCCGATTCCTCAGACCAAACAAGAAAATTAGGAGTCAGATGATGTACCACCCCACTGCTCAAACCAAACTCATCAAAAACTACTTCCAACATTAACTCTGTCTAGTACTAATGTTCACCATTTATATAAGAAATTTTTTATGCATATAGCCTGACATGTAGTCTGTTTTGTACATTTACCTAGGTTAGGAAGCTGGAACTTTTGGTTGGACTATTGGTGTTCGTTATGGCAGCATGCTTCTTCATAGAGATGAGCATAGTGAAGCCTCCTGCAAAAGAGGTCATCTACGGGCTATTCATCCCCAGCCTCAGTGGGCCAGGCGCTACTGGAGACACTATAGCCCTTCTTGGGGCTCTTGTGATGCCGTAAGAAATCTAGCATTGAAAATATTTGTGTGTTCATCTGTTTATATGCGGTGTATCTTTCTTTCTTTTTTTACATTCTAGGAAATTTTGTTTTGGATAGAAGCAGCTTGAATTCTTTTTATTGCTACACACGGTCTTAAGTTTATGCTCTAGAACTCCATTCCTCATCATATAGTCTAGGTATTTTGTCAAATAGTGTAGCTCCTTTTCAGTATAAATAATCCTTTTCTTAAATTAATTACAGGCACAATCTATTCTTGCACTCTGCCCTGGTACTGTCAAGGAACACTCCCTCATCAGTAAGAGGAATCAAGGTGAATACATATAATTGAACAGATTCAAATTCAAAAACAATTCAGCTTACATTCTGGCGTTCCACAGTTAAGAAAAATGGCTACAATCAATCAACATATCTGTTCGCTTGTTTGCACTTCAGGATGCATGCAGGTTCTTCCTTTTTGAAAGCGGTGTAGCGATGTTCGTGGCACTTCTCATCAACATATGTATCATCTCTGTCTCTGGAACTGTCTGTAACTCAAGCAACCTCTCACCGGATGACTCTGCAAAATGCAGTGATATCACCTTGGACTCCTCGTCCTTCCTCCTCAGGGTATTACTGATTACTGCCTGGTCACTACTCACTAGCTTTTGGGCTCTGTTGACTACCAGAGAGTTTTACTTGATTGTTTTTTTTTTCAGAATGTGCTAGGCAACAACAGCGCAGTTGTGTATGGTGTAGCACTCTTGGCTTGTGGAATCAGCTCTTCCATCACTGGTACTTATGCTGGGCAATACATCATGCAGGTACCACTCCTGGTGTGAATATATGTCATCACATAATGTTTGCGATCAAACCACTAAAACTATGATAATAATTTAACATATGTAATAATTCAGATGCATCACGTGAGAATGGTATTAGTAAATCCGTTATCTACACATATTTGTTTTTATTAATATATGCTTGGAAAACATAATGGTTGAAGATGCGTAGAGGATCTGTATTTGTCCTAACCAGCAATCAAACTGGATTAGAGCTAGTATCTTCTTCACCTCGATTAACTGATTAGCCTTGTTTCAGTTATCATTGTTAAACTGACAGATTATAATATCATATTCTTTCCAAAATTTACATTACACTTGTACAGAAAATGTTATACTTAGGCATTACATTTCAAGTGCTAAACCTACAATTAATCATGCATGTACTTGAAGCACGGTTTGCATGTCTTTGGCTCTTCGCTCAGGGTTTCTTGGACATCAAGATGAAACAGTGGCTGAGGAACCTGATGACTCGCAGTATTGCCATTGTACCAAGCTTAATCATTGCCATCATCGGTGGCTCCAGCGGTGCTGGCCATCTCATCATCATTGCATCGGTATAATTGTTTCGTCCACCATCTGTCTGTCTACATAAGCACCATTTACAGAATCTGTAAAGACAACTTATTAGTATAATTGTATGAACTAATAACAAGTCCATTGACTTAAACTTCTGATTGTACAAAGAAATCTTCTGGTGATTGGTTTGGTTGACTTGCTGTAAATTTGGTGCAGATGATACTGTCTTTTGAGCTACCATTTGCTCTCATTCCACTTCTCAAGTTCAGCAGTAGTAGCATCACGATGGGCCAACATAAAAACTCTATCTATGTAAGTACGAAAGTCAGTTGCAACTAACAATTTTTTTTTGTTTTGAAAGGACAAATTAGTTTCCTTCCTTAACTAATGATGCATATATTGATGACATGCAGATCATTGGATTCTCGTGGATGCTCGGGTCTGTTATCATTGGGATAAACATCTACTTCCTCTGCTCAAAATTTGTTGGCTGGATCCTTGACAACTCACTGCCAATTTCTGCTAACATTCTCATTGGCATCATCGTGTTCCCTCTTATGCTGCTCTACATTTGTGCTGTGATCTACCTCACGTTAAGGAAGGAGACCATCAAGTTCGTGTCTTGCGGTGAGCTGCAGACCATTGAGACCGACAAATCAAAGGTTGCCAATGATAGCAATAACGAGGAAAAGAAGGAGCATGTATCCTACAATGGCGTCTAGCTTGGCACTGTTCAAGGTGGAGGTGGACGTACTCTATCACAGAAGGAAGTTGGTGCTTACCTAGTACTGATTGGACTGTGTGATATACGTCCTTTGCAATCTGTTTTCACGCTTTTTTGTCTGGTAGTTTAGGCATAATAGTTTGTTGAGCAAGTTGGTGCTTACCTAGTAGTTGTTGGTCTCTAGATTGTGCTAGGCGTAGTTTCCTCAGTGGTTTGGATCAGTGTTTTGCAACCGAGTTGTTTCTGGTTGCCTCCTAGATAAGAAGTTGTGTTTAGTTTTAGTGGGTAGGTCTTATTACTGGACTTTGTTTGGTGGTTGTATACTAGTCGTGTGGTTTTCTTGCATGTACCACAAATTTTTACATATCACATGACCCTCTATTTCACCGTTTTAAAAGTCACTGTACACATACAATGGTTAGTAACAATGTTACATACATCAAAACTAAAGTATTAAACACACTTTACACGTTTTGTTTACACTATATATATAACGATTAGAAGGAATAGTACAACTAGGATTGACACTTACAACTGTAGGAGTGGGTGTGAAGATAACTGGTGAGGAGCAACATGGAGTTCAATCACTATCTTCAGAAGCATGTTTATTAAAAGAAAGCCAATCTTTAATCTAGAATGACTTCGATGCTGTCTTAGTTTGTATCTATGTTGTGAACTACATTTTTTGTTTCAAATTGTAAGTCGTTTTAAATTTTTGAGTACATGGTTTTGCTATACACCTAGATATACACTATATCTAGATACACATATATAAAAAATTATGTACCTAAAAAAGTCCAAGTGACATAATATAAAATGGAGGGAGCATTTACTAATGATCAAAATTTTGCTATGCTTAGAACGATGCACAAACAAGAAACAATAAGTAAACCATCCGGATGCATCACAATGAGCTGCCTAGCTCGCTCTAGCCGCGTATATAGGCTCAAAATCTAGATGCTCACCTCCTTACAAAAACTGGATACCCTTAACAGAAGTGCTTGCACGCCGGACGTCTGGACGGACGCGCGCCTCTGAACGCCCTGTGGCTGCTCTCTGTTTCCCGCTCTTGTTCCGTGCAGTGCGCCCCGCCCACTTGGATTCGGTGCTGCCCGGATGACTCACCCCGCCCACGCCGTCCGCCCCACACGCGGGGCCGTATGCGCCCCTCCGTTTCCCCGTCGAGCTTGAACTACTTTGGCGAGATAGAGGGAAGAAAAGGGAGGGGAGGGAGAGGAGAGGGCGAGGCACACCACGTGAGGAAGCGCACGAGGTAGGAGTCGAAGCCCTGCGGTAGACTGCTGTCCGCTAGCCACTAGCGCCATTGCAACATGTAGAACATCCAGATGAAACATTTGCAACATACGCCTGAAGATAGATGAAACACTTGAAACATGCATCTGAAACAGTTGCAAAATCTCAAAATACTTGAAAAACCATTGCAAAACATATGCAACATACGAATTAAACACTGGCAACATATGTGTGAAACATGTGCAACATCCAAATAAACGTACCTGCAACATACTTCTGAAAAACACAGATGAAACATTTGGAACAGACGCTTGCAATATATACAACATCCCGATCTACTTCTGCAACATCCATATGAAATACTTGCAACATACCTCTGAGACATCTATAACATTTAAAACATATGCTTGCAACATGCGCTTTTAGCAAAACCTGGTCGGTGGGCGTATGGAGTATTGCACAGCAGGATCCAGATGTGTTATCGCGGTGGAGAAGGAGGATGGCAGCGCGCAGGCTGCTGCACAGCCCCCAGTGAACGACTGCGCTGCTCCCAGTGAGCGACACCCGTAGTGGAGGCGGTAGCGGTGGTCGTGTAGGTGCGGCTTCGCGCGGCGAGGCGGTAGCGGCTATGCGGTCACGGGGGAGCATGCCGCAGCGGTGCGGGTGCGGTGGTGCAGTTGCGGTGGATGGGTTCGAGAATGGAGACGGGGAGAGCAGATTGTATCTTTTTTATAGCAACTCAAGTTGCCCAGTTGGGTGAGAATGTTGGGCTTTTTGGGCGGGCGTCGAGGCCCACCAAGAGAAACGTCCGAACAAACGGACATCTGCATCCCAACATTACCGTATCCTTAAACTTCTGGTCCTATGCCATTAGATCCACAAACTCTCGAAAACGAAATCTAGCCCGTGTCACCCTAGGTCCCATGTCAACAAACATTGTTTGTTAGCGCAGATATGGTTGCCATACGCTAGGGTTGGGCCGTGTTGTGATAATAAAGCGGAAATCTCACGCTTGCCATTGGAGACTAGAGAGGGTGTTGAGAAGCAACAGAATGTGCGTTGGATCATGCCTGTGCTTAGGCCATATTTACTGATTTATTAGGAGACTAGGTGCGTCTGGTAATTTGTCTCCTATTCCAACATTCGGACATATATTGGCTAAAGTCTTAAATTGAACAAGATTCTGTCATCGAATGAAGTTTGACCAGATTTTTATGTTATGTATATTTTTAGGGGATTTTCAATTTACAAATTTCTCATTTTTTTGAGCGATATTTACAAATTTCTCATGGAAATGTGAGAAACGATGTTCGTCAGTGGGCCGGGCTACCATGGGAACAGTGAGTTTAGGCCCACATACGAACTCGCTAAGAGCCGTCAGACAAGCCCACGTGATCCCCTCCCACTCCCATTCCCAGCCCTCGAAGCCACCACCCGTCCGCGTCGCCACCGCCGCTCGGAAAAGAGAGCCCTGGTAGCGCGGCGGCGAGGTCGGCCGGCGTTTGGAGGAGCTCCGAAGATGTGGTGCCATTCGTGCAAGGAAGGGTACGACGAGGAGGACGCCGGGACCTTCAAGGAGTGCTACGATGAGGCCAGCGAGACGGAGGAGGAGCTCAAGCGGGAGATCGACGAGCTCCGCTCCCGCCTCCTCTTCCTCCGCCTCCCCTTCCCCACCCTCGACGCCGCGTCCGCCCCCAACTGCGACCTCCTCCTCCACGCCATCCCCTCCTGCTCCGTCGCGGGAGGCGACGGCGATGCTGGGCGCGTCCCCGACACGCGACATCCTCGTGGGTCCTCCTTTCCTTCTCAGCTTCTCTCCTTGCGCTGTTTACATGATTCCTTTATGCGATTCAGGTCTGATTACTTAGTTTGTGTCCTTCTTGATGGTTCAGTTCTTGACAGACCTCTAGATCGACTAGTCTTAGAACTAAAAACCTAAGAATCCTAGAATATAAAAAGGAAGGTAGTCGTTTTGTGAATCCTAGAGTGTAAAAAGGAAGGTAGTCAATTTGTGATGAGGGGTCTTGATGGCCATGTTTTTTTATTTTCCATTCCATGCATAGACCTGATTCCTAGCAGTGGATTGAACAGTTCTAGTAGCTTACTGTCCTTCTGACCAATCCTCTAGTGAGGTGCTCACCGGTGTTCCTGATGGAGCGATATTGTCTGACCCATGAGCATTCTTTGCATGATGCTGTTATTCATGAATTCGTGTATAAGTTCTCATTTATAATCTTCGTGTGAAAAGATTGTGCTGGAATCAGATGTTTGTAGAATAGATAGGCAGTGGGTAATAGATCTTACTTTCTTTCTTGAGACATGATGTGGTGGCCAATGTAAAATGTCAAAATGCTTGAAGGAAATTCTAAAGCTTCATGCCAACAGCCGTATCAAAATGCTTCCTGTATCATCTATAGATGATGAGGTGAAGTGGACTGAGCGCAAAAGGGTCCAAGGTTTCTGATGCAACATTACAGTTTTTCCCCCATGAAGCATGGAGCTTATTTATGGCTTGAATCAGCATTAGAGCTACAGTTCAGATATCCCTGCACCAATTAAAACTTTCTTGATGTGTTAAAACTAACCTATATGTTGATGCTTCGAGTACTTGTATCTATGCGTATGGTGGAGCATTCTCTCTTAACTTCTTTTTTCATGTGCATCCTCTTGCCTTGAGTATAACATAAGATACAATGTGATAAGAGATGCTGAGAATAAGCATCACCACCTACTGGAACATGTTAGTGCTGATCAATTAACTACATGGCACAATCACTGAATCACATGCATATATAAAATTTTAATCTTGCTTATATCAGTGCTTAATTGTGCTGATTCTAAATGCATAATTACACACAGACTTCCAATGTTGCTCCAGGGTGGGATTTTGTTCACATGGTAAAAATATATTCATTCTTTACAGGGCCACACATTTTTTGCATGGAATCTTTGATCTGTCAACTATTTGGTTAAAGTGCTTGACTCTTTATTACTTTTCAGTTTGCATCGCATATTTTAGTCATAGGCTAGCTAATTGTGCTCATTTCAGTTGGTAACTTTAACTTTTTTTTTTGCAGATTTACATTCATGCCAGCATTCTTATCTATTTTTACGTTTGCAGTTCGCCTCGATTAGTTTTGTTGTTGGTTTGCACAATATATTTTTCATTTGTGTGTTAATTTTATCTCTGTCTTAGTTGTGTGTTTTTGTTGCAAGTGGAACTGCATTATATGTTAAACTGACTTTTTCTTTCAAACAGGCCAGCAGATCTGTTTTCAGAGCGATGCTCGAAAATGAGATGGAAGAAAGTAGGAGTGGTGTCATCAAAATCTATGATGTGTCTTATGACATCCTTCATGCTTTTGTCCATTACCAGAAGCTCTTCTAGATGAGCAGATGGCATCTGACCTCTTGTTGGCTGAGAAGTATGAAGTAAAGCACCTGAAGGCGTACTGTGAGAAGTTCATAACATCCAAAGTGAATAACGAGAATGCTATTACCCACTATGCCTTCGCGCACCGTCACAGTGCAAAGCAGCTGCTAGAGGCCTCGCTTTCTGTGCTCATGGACAGCATGTCTACGCTAGCGGATCGCAAGGAATACAAGGAGCTTGTCGAGAAGGACCCAAGGCTTGTTGTGGAGATCTATGAAGCATATCTCAACCGGCAAGTCAACACTGCAGCTGGGAAAGACACAGATTGTAGCAGCAGGAGGTGATAATTACGAACAGAACTTGTGCAGTAGTAGTATTCTAACTATGCGTTTGTGCATTCATGTAAGCAAGGTTTGAACATCATATTCTCATCCTGTTTAGATGCAAACTGCTATTTTTTTGGATGATAATCAATTAGACGATGTTGCTCCAAACAGGGTTGACGTGCTGTTGAGAATGAAACGGGATATAATGGCATCTTCATGTCCGACAGGGTGCCCTATTGGTTTATGATGGAATGTGATGTATACCCCCTGAGTCCTTAAATATAAGGTACTGGGGTATTTAAAATTTGTCCTAAATTATAAGTATTCTAGATGAATTAACCCTCCCAGAAGCATTATGTACCTACCATTAGTGTCTGCCACTAGGTTTAGCATATGATTAGAACAAGATCTCTCCACAGAGGGTTAACATAGAGAGTTACATGTGTAATTTGTTTTACCCCATAATCTGTAATAAATATTTTTAGGATACCTTATGTTTTAAGACAAGGGAGTCATGCAATCTTCATGTCCGATAGGGTGCTCTGCTGTGTATAATGAAATGTGATGTAATGACATCTTCAATTCTTCATGTAATCCTAGCGTGTGATAGGCATTAAAATATCTTGATATACCTTAATCCTGTGGCAGTGGGTTAGTTTTCATAATGGAAGGCAACTTGTCTATGAATTGGTTTAAACTTGACCACTGAGTAAGGCTTTGGTATGCGTTTTTGTTCCCGGCAATATAATGCATTGTAATTAGTACTCTTTCCGTTCCAAATTATAAGTCGCTTTGACTTTTTTTGGTACTTCCATTTTTCTATACATCTAGATATAATAATACATCTAGATACAATATGATTAGCTCCCATCAATGTCTCTGGGGCCTAGACTTATGTTGTTCTGATCATCTCTTTTATCTTGCGAATGGTTGTTTATGCAACAAATGTTGCACATATCATATTGTAGCAAGCCAACCTATCATGCACACGTTTTATATAGAGATTAAACAAAGTGTACTTTAACGTGCATCTGGTGAAACATGGCAGGCAGATAATTGTACCAGAAACATGTGCTTTTATGCCTTTTAGCCACCTGCTGTCTATTCTTGAAGTTAAAGATGAAACCAGAGTAACATGTCCAGGTCAATTCATAAAGAATCCTGAAAATGCTTAGAAATGAAGTGTATCTTATGAAAATGGGTACCGACTACAGAGAAACCTCTGCTTTCCCAGTTTTTTTATATACAATGACACAATTATCTGTAGTTCAATTATCAGAAGACAGAAGCATAAAATTGTGTACACTGAAAGACTGGCATGACAACCATTTCAGAAAAGTGACTAAGTGAGTTCCTGGACAACCATATGCAGCTCTAGAGGCTATAAGTGCCACTGTAGAAAACTTGTCAAGTTCTTACAAGCTCAGATCATTAATATAACTGCCATACATTGACTAATAAAAATCTAACAACTTGTTTATCAGATATATACTAAAATGCTAGTAGTCAGCAAACAGTTCAGAAAGCTGCTCCTCTGTCCATTCTGATACAGCCCTCTTGCGTTTGAGAAGTGATCCGCTGCTGGTATTAACATTTTCTTTTGGGGTTGAGAAGCAACCTGTAGTGTTTGGAATGCTCAAATTTTGCTGGGGATGCTCATCAGTACTGGAGCTTGATGTATGCTTGTTGTGTGTATCTCCTACCAGCAATTTACCCTCCTGGTTACTTCCTACACTAAACCCACCATAAATATCCCACGTTGAAGCGCTATTACTTGAATCAGGTGTTGCATGGTGTTCATGAGAAACCTCAGTACCTGTCATCTCATTGTTACTCGGCATCATGTCTTCACGACCAAAAATTTTCATCATTATATTGCTGGTAGAATCTCCACCTTGACTTCTTTCAGTAGTACTAGATGAAATCACTTGCTTAGCTGGGGCAGCACAATCCTTAGTAAAAACCTGTAAATATTTGCATCGTTATACCTAAGGATGAAAACGGTACGGAAATATCCCGTACCGAACCGCATCGTTTTCTACATTTAATCCGATCGAATTCGTATTTTCGGACAAATTCGAATTCGGTTCGAAATTCGGAACACCAAATTCGAAATCGGAACGAAAACGGTTTAGACATTTTTTCGACCGTTTTCTACTTTTAATTCGGAATATCCCGAATTCGAAATTTGGTTTAAACCAAATTTGGCCCACTACAAGTCCAACCTTAGAAAAATTATATCTTTTTCATACGATCTCGGATGAAGATGATTTTTATATGAAAATTGTAGCTCTCGATGAGATCTACAACTTTTTAGTTCTTAGTTTTTTCATTTGATGTCTTAAAGATGTCCAAAAAAAATTAAATAAAGTCAGCGATATATTAATCGCATACAAGCGCTGGTTGCCTTAAAAAAATCATATCTTCCTTACATCATGTCAAATGGAGATACTTTTTAAGAACGTTGTAGGACTTGTTAATTATTATGTACTTGTTAATTGTTATACACTTGGTTCTATGGGTCAATATTCCGTATTGATTTTTCGTATACCGACCGTGTTCGACATAATTTCGCTCGAATTAATTCATTTTTGAAATTTTTGATATTCCGTAAGTTCGTGTTCGTTTTCGTGTCTGGCTTTACCGCTTTCGTTTTCGTTTTCGTATTCAAATGTAGAAGTAGAAAACGGTTGAGAGGTTTTCCGACCGTTTTCGACCATTTTCATCCCTAGTTATACCCATGTCCCAAGAGGATTTCTGTACAAAAAATATTATTATGATGTAATGTGTTTGAGAGCATTGTAATAGTGCTTCAATATTGACAAAAATGGCACCATGAAACTGCTGTGGAAAGATGGTTATAAACTTCATGTCCTGAGTCCTGAGTCCTGACTCCTGAGATTTGGAAGGCAATTGAATTTAAGGGAGATACCAAGTGCCATATTTTTTTTTCAGTGTAATTGTAGAATCACTGAAGAGCAGGCTTGGTGCAGTGGTGAGAGCTGTCTCACTGAGTCACCAGGTCATGGGTTCGAAGCAGCCTCTCCGCAGATTTTGCGGGGGGAAAGGCTTGTCTCGGTTTATCCCTTTCCCAGACCCCACTCATGTGGGAGCCTCCGGCACTGGGTCTGCCCCCTTTTTTTAATCATAGAATCACTGAATCATTAAAATTTTAGGATTTTATACACGATACGTTGAGTCAATCCGAAACCAATAGTTGACTGCAAAATTGTACCTGACAATGTGATTGCACTTGATATGTTGCCTCAGATAACAGTTTGTACCTCATTAATGCAGATCCAATGCACAAAGTTGCAGTTGATAACTGGTATAACCAGATTCCAAAAATGGCTAAGCAGAACAAGAGTATTTTTGTACAAATCCCAGAGTAGTTCACTTTGATTTATTTCTTTTTACTTCAGTAGTAATTATATTCAACAATTTTGATTTCAACAACAATTAAACTGGGAAAGCATCATCATGTATATCAGAACAGATTACAGTAATCAGTAGCAATCTAAATTAGTATGAAACTATGAATAATGATCACTTTTCCTTTGGTAACATTGAGGTAGCACAACTTGCGAGACGGACGGAAAATAGCTACCTGGACTTGAAAACAACATATTTAACAGTTGAACCAATCACTTGCCACCAGCCACCACAGTAGTAGTTTGACAACAAAATAAGTCACAACTTATGTACTCACCTTACTAAAAACAACAGCACACCCAATTGAGATATCATGGCCATTATTCTCCTCTAAAAGGACTTTCTTGTGAACTGAGGCACCAATTGAGTCGGTTGCATCCTATCAAGAGTAAACAGTTGATATTCAGCTCAACATATCAATGGAGGATTGATTACGGAAAACCAATAATGCTTTGTTTTGGTTTATCCTCTTTGAAGCACACAATCGCAAAGCTATGTCCTGTATTCTTCATATAATAACTACACCCAAGGGGAGAAACATCCCGAGGGTATTGCTTGAAAGGTCGAGTGAAGGCACCCAATAGCCAGTTTGGCCCAAAAAACTTGAAAAACCTAGGAGGAACTATGTGGCTTTTTAGTTAAGATTTAGGCACCCAATTTTTCCTTGACAACTTGGGTGGTGTGAGAATACATCCACACTCTTGACCATCTGACCTAGGCTGAGTTGCTAAAACCTAGATCAACATAGGTGGAATTAGTCAGCTTTTATATGTTAAGAAGAAAATAGGCACCCAAATGTGTAAACTGAGTGGTCTAGGTGAACATCCACACCAAATAACTAAGCTAGGCTCAACTTCCTCTATATTCTTTATATAAAAGAGGGTGCTGCAGATACTTCCTTTTTTTCATTAGCAGTGGAGGATCAGATTGTCACTAATGAAGATGAAATTCAAATTTCCTGGGGACTGCTCTACACAGATATTTCACTGTTGATCCCAATGAGCATAACCTGCAGCACCATCATTTAGAAAATTTAGATGACATATGTACTGGAGATAAGGTTTGGGCCATTGTAAAGGACATTCCTCAAGATAAGGAACTGGGTTTGGATGGGTTTATGGTCCATTTGATATAGGTCTTGTTTCTTGATCATTAAGCAAAATTAGACGAAGGCAGCTGCTAGGTCAGATGGCAAAGGTTGGACTGCCAAACACTACTTCTATCACTTTGATCAAAAACAAAGTTGATGCTATTCAAGTGAAAGACTTAAAATCTATATATTTGGCATACAATTTTTCTAAAAATTTATTACAAAACTATTGGCTGACAAACGTGCACTAAAGTAGTTCCACAGTATCAGCTAATCAAAGTGCTTTTATTCGGGGAAGATGCATCCATGATAATTTCTTCCTACTCCAACAGACAACAAGAATCTTACATAGACAAAAGGATCCCTATACCCTATTTAAGTTAGACATACAAAAGACATTTTGGTCATTGGTGATGCAACGGTGCTATGTGCTTTGCTGCCCACCTATTCTCCACCTGTGTCTTGGTGAACAGTGAACTAGGAGAGATTCATTCATGGTCTCTGACAAGGCGACCCACTATCACCCATGCTATTTGTTTTGTTAATGGAGGTTCTGAACTCTTTGGTCTTTAGAGCATCACAACAAGGATTGTTAAAGCTACTCTTATTCCATGGTCTATGGCACCAGCACCAGCCATCCTTATATGTTGATGATGCTGTTTTATTGATACGGCCCGTTGTGAAGGATATGGAAACTGATCAAGCAAGCATTGCACATTTTTGGAGAAGCTTCAGGCCTCAAAGCCAATATTCTTAAATCGCAAGACCTCTGCCACACTAATCGAGTGCAAAGAGCTTGAAATTTACATGATCATCTCACATGTGAAATCAAGAACTTTCCAGGTACTTATCTAGGGCTTCCTTTGTCCATGAAGAAGCTCACCAAAACCGAATTGTAGCCATTTGTTGATAAGGTGGCTGATTATTTGCCAAGCTGGAGGGCCCCTTTGATGAACAGAAGATGGTAGACTAATTTTGGTACAGGTGTTTCTGACATATCTTATGACCGTTATGAGCCTTCCAAAATTGATGATCAAGGCAATTGATAAAAGATAAGGCTTTCTTTGGAAAGGCCAAGAGGACAATGGTGGTAATTGACTTGTTTATTGGCAGTGAGTTCAACAGACAACAGCAACTTCAATTTTGTGGGCTTGATAGTTGATATTCATGATCTGACCCTTCTTGGTTGGGCGCCATAAGCAAGATGGGTATGGCTTTGAGAAAACAGACTCTGGTCAACCATGGACAGGGTCATAAATCCAGGTGCATCCAACCGTGAGAGCTGTTTTTGATAAGGATATGATAAGATAACCAATGTAGGGGATGGGTTCGCTACTAAATTCTAAACTAATCTATGGCTGCAAGGAAAGACCATACCAGAAGTTACTACCAACCTTATCATCCTTGTCCCTGGCAAGCAATTAAATGGAGAATTGTGAAGGAGGCTGTGGTAAATAGGGGATGGGTAAAAGATATCAGAGGTGCTCTCACTTTAAAGGCAACAATGGAATATCTCCAACTATGTGACTTGCTACAAAATGTCACCCTCCAGGATGGATTTCAATGCCAGTACCCTTAGAAATAGACAGGGTCAGGGTTATATTTAAGCAAATCAGCTTACAACTCCTCTGTTCGTGGAATCTAACGGGTTTACACCTTGGAAATATATTTGGAAGTCTTGGGCTCCATTGACGGGTTAGTTCTTCTTGTGGCAAGCTGTCCTAAATGACTGTAACGCTGTTGGACAGCTGACAGGTTGTTAAGCGAGGGTAGCCTCACCCTGCTTCTTGCCTTTTGTGCAATCAAGCAGCTGAGAACATCAATGACATGTTGGTTTCCTGTGTAGTTTCAAAGGAAGTGTGGTTCATCGTGTCACAGAAGCTGGGTTTACAAGCTTTAGTTCCTGACAAAGGCTTGCCTAGTCTTTCTACATGGGTGTGCTGTGCAATCAAAAGGTGTGAACAAGCAGCATAGAGAAGGAAGGCTTGAATACTTTGATTATCCTGGTGGTATGAGAGTTGTGGAAACATTGCATTGATTGCATGTTGGATGGATCTTTTCCAAGTACAAACTTGGTTGTGAGGGCATTGGAAGAGAGTGCCTTATGGTGTGCAGCTGGGGCCAAAGACCTCACAAACCATATTTTCTAAGGACTGTTGTCTCAGTTTTTAGGTTGCTTCTTGTTTCAGTGGCGCACTCAATGAAATGACATACAGCTCCCTTGATTGTTTTCTCTGGGAAAAAATAACTAAAACGAAAACAAGACAGCACAGAGAACTAAATGACATGCTGAGCGCTAACCTTTAGAATCAAGAAGAGATCTCCGAGCCCGTTTGGCTTGCACGAGGTCACCACCCCAGCCACCTGATGACAACACACTGATGTCAACAGAGAACCCCCAAAATATCCCCGCTAGGATCAGACGAAACGGCCATGAAAAACTAAAAGCTTGGCAGGTGCGGAGCACGCACCAAAGTGCTCGAAGCAAATCCTCATCGCCCTTAATGGCCCTGATCCCCGGCCGCTCCCACGCGCGGTCCTTCCCTGCACCCAAGCCACCAAAGACGGACAAACACATCACACGGAGACAACCTCGCCACGAAACGCGAAGGAAGGCCTTCACTGAATTACCCCTCACCAAGGAACTGGAGGCCCGCAGGAAGTCGGCGTCCGTGGCGCGCGCGTCCCTGCGTCCCAGTGAGAGAGGCGGGCGGGTGACGGAGCGGGGGAGGACCGTGTCCAGGACGGCGGCGGCGGCGGTCCCGGGGATGCGGTGGTGGTGGTGGTGGTGGGAGGGGTGCGGGGATTTGTCCTCCTGGGGCTGGGAGGCGGTGGCGTCGAAAGTGTAACGTACCGGCCCAGGGCTTAACAGGATTAATATGATACTCATACCAGTAAGTTGTAACTTCTTTTCCGGAAGCTCATCTGCAAATAACCCCGAGGTTAAGCGTGCTTGGCCTGGAGCGATGGGTGACCGACCGGGAAGTTCTTCCCGGGTGCGCACGAGTGAGGACAAAGTGCGCAGAAAAGGCCTGTATTGGTCTGTGAGGGCAGTCTATATCCTAGTTAAGCTGCCAGATGTAAGCGGGCCCAGCCTCGGAGAGGTGGGACGTTACAGAAAGGGTGGGGCCGGGGATCGAAGCGGATGTCGGAGTCACCCAGATCCAGCGCGTCCTCCCAGGCGGCAGTCTCTTCTTTCACGGCCGCTACATTGGTGGCGGCGGCGGGGCCTGGGAGCTGCGCCATGAGAGACTGAGAGAGAGGGGAGGGAGAGGAGGCGGTAATTGGTGATGTCTGATGTGGTGGTGCTACTGCGGTTTGGTTGAGCTGGGCCATCTTTTCGGTTGCCTCGTAGATCGCCGTGGGCCTGGGCTCGGTGCACTGCACAAGCCCATTGTTTGTACAGTACTCGCTATGTTCTAACTCCAAACATTTCTAATTCGATAATGATATGGGCATGCAGAATCAGCCTGGCCTGCTCCTCGGTCCATCTAAAAATAAAATAAAAATAACGTCCGCATTTCTCTTCCTCCTCCCTCCTTGTTCCTTGTGCAGTTTCTTTTCTCACCGCAGCGGCGATACCCGTACCGACCGCTGAGCTGGCGCTCCCAGCAGTCTTCCTCTGCATCCCGTCCCCGCTTCTCTTCACTGAAAGGTCGAGAGGACGAACTAGAGAATGTGAATAGTTCTTTCTAAATTTAATCACGTCAGCTAATCGAAACAAATACAGAATTAAAATAATCGATCTAGCTAAGACTACACCCCTCTATCGAAGTTCACAAGCACCTTATAAATATCGTAATTAGGCAACAAAGGTGCCGAGCTAGCTAGAGTTCACCTATCCAATTCTAGGAGTAAGGTCACACAAACCTATGTCACTAGTATTTTACACACCGAAGAGTTCCTACATAATTCTAGTAAGCAAAAGCACAAAGCTCATAAGCTCACTACTAATGCTCAATAACAAGACAACCAATGCCAAATTAGAGAGCGCAAATACTTAGCTACACAAACTAAACAATGTGACTAACAATGTTACACAAACCAAATTAGCCACGCAAGAGAGCTACATCTATGCTACACAAATAAGAAGGTAACTAATGAGCTATACAAGGTAATTAATTACAAGAGCAACTACACAAAGCACAATGTATATGAAAGTAATTATAAGCTTGTGTAAGGGGATTGCAAACCAACGGGAAGAACAATGTTGACACGGTGATTTTTCTCTCAAGGTTTACGTGCTTGCCAACACGCTACGTCCCCATTGAGACAAGCTTCAAGGTTGCCGCCGGTCCTCTTGCTAGTGGTGACCCGCAAGTCAGACTCTCCCACGTGGAGTGCTTACCACAAGCTCTAGCACTTGACCTGGTCGGACCACTTGTCGCCCTTCGCGTCTCGCTCTAGTAGAGTTGCTCTTCACGGCTCCCGCGGGGCGAGCACAATGTCCCTCACAAAGCTCTTCTCCGGAGCACCGCACAAGCTTCTTGCGGGCTTCGATGGAGACCACCACCAAGCCGTCTAGGAGGTGGCAACCTCCAAGAGTAACAAGCACCACCGGATTGCAAGATGACCACCTAGTGCCACTCGATGCAACCTCATGGTGCAATCGCACTAGAATCGCTCACTCACTCGATCGGATGAACACTATCAAGCTCAAGTGAGTTAGAGGGATCCCAAGCACTAAGCATGGACACAAAGTCCCCAAGGTGCTCCCCCGCAGCCATGGCCGAGACACCCTTCTATTTATAACCCCATGGGCTAAAATAGCCGTTACCCCTTCACTGGGCTTTCTGCGCATCGACCGGACGCGCAGGTCCACTTGACCGGACGTGTCGATCCCTGCGCCTGGTCGCTGCTGCGCTTCCATGTGTCACTAGCCATTTTGAACTAACCGTTGTTGCCAACGGCTATCTCGCACGCGCGCCTTCATCCATCGATCGGACACGCTACTTAGCTTGACTGGACTCACCACACCACAGCGTCCGGTCAACAACAGAGAGCTCCCAGAGCCTTCAAAACACGACCGAGCACGTCCATTCACATGTGACCGGACGTACCACCGCCTGAGTCTGGTCGTTTCTAGAGAGCTCCCTGAGCCTCTATTTTGCGTCCGGACGCGTCAGGTCAGTCACAATCGGATGCAGCACCTGAGTCTGATCCTTCACGGCCTACCACGCGTCACTGCTGCTCCTCACGCCACCACGTCAGCATACGTCAGCGCTGACCAGACACGGCCACTGCGCGTCAGGTCACCTCTTCGCCCAGCGTCCGGTCACTAGACCGGACGCACTGGTCCTCCCGAGGCCAGCGTTCGGTCACTCACAGTGACCTGTTTCGCCTCTATTTCTTCGTCGAGTTGATCCGTTTCAACTCCAACTCCAAAGCCTCCAACTTGCCCTTCACGCTTTGCAACCGGTCCATCAAGCCAAGTCTTATCTTGATCTCTTTCAACTTGATCTCATGACTCAATGTCATGTCTCATGTGCAATGAGCTCCTTCATCATCGCATGTGTGATCTTTGCAACATCTCTGAGCCATTACCACCTCCATGGCATATGTTGCTCACACACATATACCTGTGGACTAATCACCTATGTATCTCACATAAACACAATTAGTCCACCTAGGGTTGTCACTCAATTACCAAAACCAAACAAGGACCTTTCAATTTCCCTCTTTTTGGTAATTGATGACAACTCTACAAAGATATGAAAATTAAGTTCTTTTTGATTCATGTTGCTTGCCCAAGCAATTTTACTATGTGTAAATAATTTTGAACAAGTACCACAAACCCGAAATGGTAGTATTAGTGCCCCCTACATATGTGCTAGAGTGTTTGGTTTGAAGCTCGCACATATGCATAGATTGAAATTGTGGGAGAGTAATTACTACCAAATGATGCTAATGTGTATAAAGTAAACCTTTGAAATGTGATACCAATCGGAGTTGCACTTTTTAACACCATCCTCAGCACCATGAGTAGCTAGACAACAAAAATACTAGAGATTCTATGAGATCAACATTATAAGCAAGGTTCTAGTACCACGTGTAAAAATACAAGTCTAGCTACCATCCTATGCGTGCTAGTTATCAAATCATCATTCAAGTTCTACAACTAACATACACCACACAAGCATGCATATCAAATTTAAAAAAAATTATGCAATGCAAGCAAGCACATGACTATGCACATATCAAATGCAACCAATCAAAGTTCATGAGCTTGCTTCCCCTACTTGTGTGCTTCTTTTGTCCAAGAATTTTGATCCATCTCTTTTTTTCAATGTTGCTCCCTCTTTGTCCATGTCCATGTCCAACCTCTACTTCTTTGTCTCAATCTTTCCCAAAGCTTTCATATCTTTGTACAATCTCTCCCCCTTTGTCATTAATTTTCATAAAAGGTGTGTTTCTCATTGATGCAAATGTTTGCATTTGGGGTAGATAGTTGATGCTTGAATCTTGCATTTTTTATGGACATCACTTGATTATTGGAATGATACCACCTGTATAGCTTCTTGAGATACCACACATAGAATATTTGACCTTGATACCAGTTGGTGGGACACCTCCCCCTAAGTCATTTCATGGGTCATCTATTTGATAAACTTGAGCTCTTTGTAGTGAGGGATGCATTCTTCATTTGATGATCTCTTAAAGTTGAGGATCACTTGTGGAACCACCTTCTTATATGGTTGATATCATGTGTAGAGATGTGATACCACGCATATGATTGATTTGTCAATAAAAACTATTTCTTGAACATTTGCTATTATCATAACTACCATGTGTAGGATATCACTTGTAAGTTGATCTAGATACCACTTGTCGACGAAATATGGTCGGCAGTCTACCTAGGGGTATGCCCAAGGTAGTAGATTATCGGCAGACAGGTGCGCAAGCTACGAACGAGATGATGACACAAGATAGACACGAGGTTTTATCCAGGTTCGGCCACCGTGAGGGCGTAATACCTACGTCCTGCGTCTGATTGTATTGCTGTATGTCAATGAGACTGTTTTTTAGAGGGGTCCCCTGCCCGCCTTATATAGTCTGGGAGGCAGGGTTACAGATCTGGAAACTAATCCTAACCGATTACAATTGCCATAAGTGGCCAGATAAGGATTCCTATTCTAACCGACCAGGATCTTGCTTGATCTCCAAGTCTGCCTTGATTCCTTGCGCGGAACTCCGAGCAGATCGGCTGGGCCGCGCGTCATCTTCTGGTGGACCGAACCCCCTGGACCAAGCCGGCCCAAACCTAGCTGTAAGGGTATAGGGGCTAATACCCCCACAGCTAGTCCCCGAGCACCATGTATTATGTTGCGACACGCCGTTTGACCTTCTTTGGCTAATGCAATATGTCTTCATGTCATCTCCAACTGGTTGAAACATTGACCAAGCAAATGCACCAGTAATCTGGTCAGCACAGAGAGCAGTAGACCACGTTTATAGCCGAAGATTTCGGTTGTCTGAAGAATGCATGGTGCTCTAAAGAAAAAAAGAAAAAGATTTCTTTCCTGATCAAGCGTGCCCACTTGTATTTCTGAAAAGAAATGTAAGTGACCCTTGTATAGGAGTAGTTATGGCCAACAATCAGAGCATAGGGGTCGACAAAATAAGCACATTCACCGCAAGGTGAAGTGTGCCCACTTAGTCCCCGAGCCTGGTAGTAGGTGACGTAGGCACGTGGTGCTAGGGTCTAAAAAAGAATTTCCAGTTAAGTTGAGAATCCAATCATCATATAGGCAATACGAGCTGCACCGACAGGTGCATCATACCGATGTAGTCCCTGAGCTTGCTGGAAGGCGAGGTATCAGCCTTGTAGCAAGGTCTAAGTAAGAAAAAATAAATGCCTCTCAACTGTATGTGAGTACAAATCACCTGTAGCCGAGGAGAGCAGTCCCCAAGCAATGGTCGGAGAGTGGTCGGAGCAGTCCCCGAGCGCAGCATGGGGAAAACAATGAATCCCCGAGAATAACCGTAGTCAGGACAATCCCCGAGCACGAGGACGATCGAGACAGTCCCAAGCACGAGAGTGGTCGGAACAGTCCCCGAGTATGAGGGTGGTCGAGATAGTCCCGAGCACGAGAGTGGTCGGAACAGTCTCCGAACACGATGGTGATCAGGACAGTCTCCGAGCACGAAGGTGGTCAGGACAGTCCCCTAGCACAAGGAATGTGACAAAAAACCATATGCCACTATTACTATTATTCTATGAATTTATTTATTTATTTGTTCTGACAAGTCCGGTCTGACACGTCTAGTCAAAAAAGTGGACGGGCATAGCACGTCGTACTGCCTTTTTGTCTTGTCAAGAGAATAGTTGCGTGGCACCTATCAGTAGGTGCATCAGCGTGGGCCCTCCCACACTGGCAACGAAGAGGCGAATTTGTTGGCGTAGTTCTCGAGGCTGAGTAATACTGCAAATGTGAAAACAACCATCTGCGGTGCGTGCGCACGTCCCCCAAGAATCCTAGGCAGACGAAACGGCATAACTCTTAGGTTAAATATAGCATATGATAGGTCAGTTACTATTTACTGAACCCCAATGCCATTCGCAACCGCAGCTTTCGTCTTCCTCTCGCCGATCGACCCTAACAGATCCAAAATCACCACCAACCAACC